TTATTTTCAGAATTTTTACCAAAGTCCGTATATATTTCGGCCAACAGGGCGAAAGTATACCCATGTCATTTGTGCTGGGTTTCTATGTGAATAAGGTGGTGCAACGTTGGTGGGAGCAATATAGATTATTGCCATGGCCTGACACTTTGGCGTTATTCATCAGCGCTGCCATACCAAACTCCACTGGTGGAGTTAATGTAAGTATTTAAAAGACAATAAACTCAACGCGTTTTAAACAAATTTCAAAAAACGATCACATCCACAATCGATTATAGAACGAAACCGGACGCCTAATGCGTCGCAACATTATGCGTTATATGGTGCTTGCCTACGTGATCACGTTGCAACGCATATCGCTGCGCGTCAAACGTCGCTTCCCCACCACACAACATCTCGTGGATGCTGGTCTCATGCACGAGTCTGAATCGAAAATTTTCGATGCATTTAATGCCAAAAGTCCCATGTCCAAATACTGGATGCCATTGGTGTGGGCCACTAATATCATTAATCGGGCACGCAAGGACGGCCTGATAGCATCCGATCACATTGTGCAAACAATACTGATGGAATTGTCGGATATACGACGACGTTTGGGTGGTCTAATTGGCTACGATACGGTGTGCGTGCCGCTGGTGTATACGCAGGTGGGTGGGTAGCTTGAGCAGCCAGCCATTTGGCAATTAAGCACAATTGTAGTGTCGTTAAATTGTTTAATTAATTAATTGGATTTTTTGCTTTTTATCTTCACGTTCTTGGTTTTTTTTTTTTTTTTTTGTATATTTTATTTGTAGGTTGTGACGTTGGTGTTATATACGTATTTCATAGCTGCGCTGGTGGGCCGACAAATGTTGCCAAACATGCCCGATGCCAAAGATCCAGACTTATACTTCCCGTTCTTTACAGTGTTGCAAGTAAGTGATCATTATTGAATAGTAAATTATACTTATACTATGTATGCATAAAATTTTTAAGTTTAATAAACCTGTTAGCTTGACGGGATGTTTACGAATTGTATGTTTGCATTATAAAAACAAGTGTTTCGCGTGCGGAAAATTTCCACACTTTACAGCTATATCTGATTTATCATATAAGTGTGTAAATAAATGACGACAAATTCTAACTAGTCTTGAAGTGGTAAAATTTCCACTATTTGATAGTAAACCCCTAAGAGAGAAGCTCTTAAAACAAGCTAACCAAATGTCCAACTGTCTACCAAGCTTACGCTCTGCCAAGGCATATCCAACAAGGTTAGGTTAGGTTGATGTGGCAGACCCAACGAGGGGAACTCACTAAGACATTACTTAATTGTCCATGGTGCTACCACATTACACAAATTCTACGGACAGTAACTGGATCTAGGGATCCTGTAAGAATCCAGTGCTTAGCTCTCTTGGCTGCCCGCGTTCAACAATCGCCCAGTAGGATCTTGCAACTTTGCATGTTGGGGTGATCCCATCTGTCCAGGAGCAGGCCGCAGGTTGCCAACGGAACTTCTATGCGCTCTCTGCCCGAGGTGACGGCCTCGCGGGTGCCCTGCCTAGCCAATTCATCAGCCCTGCAATTTCCGGTGATGTCACTGTGCCATGAGCGATCCCAGCGCCATGATTGCCGCCTGGCTATCAGTGTTGACATTTGCAATCGGCTGCTTCCTCAGCCTCTCCCGTCTAGCTTCTATCGTCCCGGCAATATGTTTATTGGACCTCTACTCCTGAGACTACCTTTCTCCCATTCGTCCCATGGAGGGATGTGCGTGGAGAAGGATCCTTTTTTGTCCAGCCTCGGAACACTCTGGTCCTTTATTTCCGGCAGGAAGTGGAAGCCTTCGAGAATTGTGGAATACCCGTACGCTGGGTTGGACAGAGGCCTCATCTCTTCCTCAAGGCATTTCTGCAGCAGTAGAGTGCCATCGATGCGTATTTTACTCGTTCCTCTACATTTGGCTTCCATGATAACAAGTGAAACATCTCCTATCTTTGGTGAATAGTACGAGCTCCGTCTGCGCAGGATTGATAGTAAGTTCGCAGCTAGCAGACCAATTTCTGACCATGTTTAGGTATTCTGGCTTAAAATCAGACAGAATATTCAAAAAATTTCGTCTGGCGATTATTGACACATCATCCGCTTAGGCAACAACCTGACATTCTCTTCTTTCCAACTCGTCCAGGACGTCGTTTATCGCGACTACCCAGAAAAACGGTGAAAGGACGCTTCCCTGCGGCGTGCTTTTGCTCACTTTACGCTAATCAGAGGCATTACCCCTTTTCGCTATGACAGATCTGTCGTGCAGCATATGGGAGATGAGGCTTACTAAATAGTTCTCAACTCCGAGCTTAGTCAGGGCTCTTATTATCGCTCCAGGTAACACATTATTGAAAGCCCACTCGATGTCAAGGAAGTCACCTACTACAAAATCTTTGTTCTTAAGAGGCTCCTCTATGACTTTGACAATTGTGTGCAGGGCAGATTCCACGGAGCTACGCTTCAGTCAGGCATGCTGAGAGAGCTTCAATCGCTCTTAAGGAATCCTGTTTCTCATATGCAGCTCAATAAGTCTCGCAAAAGTTTTGAATAAGAAAAAAGAGTGACTGATTGGAATGAAGTCCCTAGGAAATACGTGAGAGCTTTTTCCTGCTTTGGGGACAAACGCAACCTTCACACTTCTCCAACCCCCGGAATATACCCTCGTTCTAGGCAACTCGCATAGATGAGAGTGAGAAAGCGAAACGAGACTTCCACAGCCTTTTGCAGCTGTACAGGAATGATGTCATCCAGTCCAGGGGACTTTAAAGAATCAATCGCCCAGAGCTGTCGGCGCTTCTCCAGTAGTTCAACGGAGGAAGTGTGGCAGACGCTCACACCAAAACCGGTAGGCTCATACGGTGCAGAATTGGCTGGGAAATGAGCGTCAAGGAGTAGCTTAAGCGATTCCTCTCCGCTCATCGCCCACTCTCCCTCTTCGTCCCTCAAGTATCCTAAGGATACGGGACTCCTTGCGAAGATTCGCCTAAATCAAGACGATTCATGACAACCTTCTACGGTTTGGCAGACGTTTCTCTATGACTCATTTTTGGCCTTTCTTATCTCGAACTTATAGATATTCAGTGCGACCTTGTAGAGTGCGCAGTCAGAGTGTTGTCCACTCTTTCTGGCTTTGTTGAAAAGGCGCCTACTCGACACTCTGAGTTCTGAGAGTTCCATCGTCAACCATTGGGTCGGACTTTGCCTGAAGGCCTACTCAGCGGGCACAAGCTTTCGATGGCGTTCCTACAGGCTGATGTGAAATTCTCCACCACAATTTGTTTTCAAAGTCCTCAAGCCGAAGAAAGCTATTCTTAAACTTTTACTTAGCATTTGTTTTTAATTTATCCAACGAGGCATATTTTTTTGTCATGACTTTCAGCAAGATTAGTTTCGAGGCTTGCTGAAAGGACAAACCGGATATACGTTAAGGGATGGTTTTCGGACGGTTGGTTGATATTTTCAATAACCCTCTCAACCTTTGTAGCTTGTTGGACACTATCAAGTCTTGGCCTGAAAACTTTTCATCTATGTACTTGGAGGAAGATAAGAAAAACATTTTTGTAATCATACCACTCACTGAAGCGCTCTCGCTATATCGGTAAAAGGGCTTATGCCTGAGTACAGGGCGGCTCATTTCTGAGGTATAGGTTCGGTCCAATAGTCTTAATTACGATTTGTATAGAAATAATATTTGGCCTGTCAGTCCCAGGATCAAGGGAAGTGCGTTCCTTAAAGGAAGGTTAATGTAGAAAAATTTACACAGAGAGAGGACAATTTCTTCAGAAATAAAGACAGAAGTTTCAACAAATGTCCGTATAGATTGGATTTATGGAGAACGTCGTGTCAGCGGTAACTTTTTTTTTTTATATTTAATATATGTATTATACGAGTAGAAAATTCCTTAATACATATTTGTGCCATTTATCCCATAAGAGATACTCTTTAATGAATAAATAACTTGCATATAGTAAGTAAGATAAAACAGAAGATAAAATCGACAATATGAAATTATATCGAAATAAAAGAAGCGTGGCAGCTCCTAGCCAAGAAACCGCTTGTTGCGAACGTGCTAGGAAAAGTATTAATGTTTTGAAATTTTATTAACGCACGCGCCGAAGCTTCGTGTCATCGTAATCAGAGTATTATTTAAATGTAAACGACTAATTTGACAGTCAGTCGTGTATTTGCATTGCATTGTTTCCAATTGTTTTACGATCAGATAAATTCGTAATACTTAATACCTAGTTTTCGTTTTGTATGTATGTATGTAAGTACGTATTTTATTTATTTTTACTTTTACTATTCAGTATGCAATTGTTGTTTAGTTGCGTTGTTAATGAAATTGAAACTTTCAAAGCTATCTTTTGGTTGCATATGTACGTAAATATGTTTGGTTGCACGTATTTCTTATATAATATTGCACATATGAAAGTAACGATTACGCGCAACCATAAGTACATATGTACGTGTGTATGTATGTATATCAACTACAAGTATATGCAGTATACCTGTATGTACCCAAGTTTTAATATTGTAAAAGTCTTGTTTGTAATTAAATATTTTGTCCAACTGTTTTAGCTTCGTTTCGTCGAATAAAATCAAATATTTTACCAAGAATTTTTTTTTTTTTTGTTATAACTGTTTGAAATCACAAATTGCTTTCTACTACTTTTAAAAGTAATGAATATTTTTTACTGAAATTCTAATTGTGCTACTTTATGGTCTTATAATAATAATAATAAGAGATTAGCGCTTACACACATGGTAGTTTTTGGCCGAGCTTCTCCTCCGATTTGAGACGTGCGCTTTAATGTTTTCAAACAAGAAGACCCAAATTAGGGATGTCGGAAAAACATAGATGCATCGAAAATATCGATGTTTTGCTTCGACGCGTCGAAAATTTTCCACTCGATGCATAAATAGTTGATATACCGATGCATCGATGTTTTTTAAAACTAACATCTCTAGTACATTGAATCGTCGTTCCAGTTTTTCAATTGTACAAAAAATAATGGTGACTTTGACCAAAAAATTTAAATATCTCCAAAAAGTTCCTTTAGAAATACAATTAGCTCAGTTGCAGTAATTTATTTCAAATTTTCCACAATTTTGCTAATAACATATTTTGTTGTGAAACATTATCTGAAAAATCCTATGCAAATCGAAATATATCGATGTACATTTCGATGCATCGAATCAAAGAAAATCATCGATGTATTTTTGCCACTGACATCCCTAACCCAAATCGAATTATGTACTTAAATAAATTAGTATGTCTCTAAAATAGAAATGTGTGCGCCTGGCACGCGCTGTGAAGTGAAACTTCTTTTGATTAATTTGATTACACAATCCTGATTCGATAATTTCGTTCTACTGAACTTAAAATACCAAGATATAACTAACCCAGTGTTGATTTTAAATTGTTCAAATTATAAATAATTTTTTTTTTGAATTGTGGTAGGGTAAAGTGAAGTGAGGTGAGGTGTGGTGAGGTGAGTTAAATTGAAGTGAGGCGAGCTAATTTTAGGTGAGTTGGGGTGTGTTGGATGAAATTAATTGCTTAGAGTTGAGTTAATCTTCAGTTTTATTTTTATTTGTATAGATATAAAGGTATTGACCTCTATCTTTATCCCTCTCCTTATTTGTATCTTTATCTTTTTTACTTTATATTATCTTTATCTTGATATAGGCTTCTGTTTATTTATTTTTTATCCTTATCTTCACCCTTGTTTTTATCTTTGTTTATATTCTTTCCTACATATCCATGTTCACTTCCACCTTTATGCCCATTTTTAGTATTTCAATTCAATTCCTTCCTTTACTTATCTTTATTTGAGTTTCAGCCTTTGGTTTTTTCTTCATACATATATTTTTTTGCCAAACATAGGGGTTGCTTCGGCACTTAAGGCCTAATTATAGCAACTTAACGTAACTTTGAGGCTGTCACTTAAATATTCCCTTAAATGGATGTTGCTTATATTTGAACAGGCAAAACTTAACGTAACTTAACGCAAGGCCCATGTCTATTTCATTTTGATTTTCAAAGTTCTAAGCTACGTTAAGTTGCCATAATCAGACCCTTACGGTCTGATCTTAATTTATAATAAATCAATGTTGTTGTCTCAAGGAGAAAATTTGTTTGTTCCAAAGTTCAATGACCTCAAGTACCCCGTTCTAGTACTTACCCTCCATACTTCAGTTCTTATCACCCTAACTTACCATCCTAATGTCAGTAAGTTAAAGCTCTCCAAAAATCGTAAAATTTTTGCTAAGGAAGTTTACTGATTATTCCAGTTCCACGTAAAAGGTGACCCCTAGGTTCGTTAAAAAAATAAATATTTCGTAATTGCCTTGCAAAAGTACTTTGGATTCAGGGGTGTACGGGGAAATTTTTTTCGTTTGCTTGTAAGGTGATAAGGTCAAATGTACATACATACACAGGAATATATGCTTGTTAAATACTATGGGCACGTTTAAGTTCCGAACGATAAGTAAGCTATTCAATAGTTCAACAAATTTTTGGCGTATAAATGACATTCAGCTATATACATATATGTATGTATATATCTAATATGTAACTACATCTGTAGGTGGATCACAATCATTCGCTTGTGCAAGAAAAAACAGAGTTAATATGGAATTTCTAATTTGGGGTTGGTTGAGCATGCGCACTCAAGTGACAGTTTAATGGATAGTAAAACTTAACAAATCAATTAAAGTAAGAGGTGGGCCTCTCATCGGTTTTTCATTTAAAATTTCTATGAAGTACCTAAAGGTAAATCAATATTTTTTTTGTTAATACATAAACGTTTACAGCCTAATATATGCACATGCCTACATACATATATACCTTTATATACTATGTACTTAAATGCAGTGATTTATTGGCAAGAGAAATTAGAGGGTTTAAAATAAATCAATACAGTAGCTCTAGACAGTGTTTTTATTTCGAGAAAATGAGATGCTGCTGATTTTAAAGCTTAGGCTTTATGTTAAGCCAAGCCAGCCCCTTCGAGATTATTTTGTAGTGTTAGTGTTATTTTGGATAGTGGTCAGAACATATGTATGTGGATATTTTTGGATCCGACACTATACTTTCCATCGGCCTGTATCAGGTTCAAACTTAAAGAGGGTTTGAAGTCTTCTAAGAAACTTGCCATAGACGAGGGGGTACACTTAGACCATAGTAGATAAAGGGATGCTATGCCCAAGCTTAGGTTACTCAGAGGGTACCTGACTATCTGCGCTCTCACATGTGCCTGAGCAGGGAGACGGAATATCGACATTAACTTGCAGACGAAGAAGCAATCTGGTGCTGTTGGCATTTATTTAGGAAGCTGATAGTATCATGGGCTGTCAGGATTAGGGACTTGTTATAGATATACAAAAAATATTCTAATTTTCACAACCAAGAATTTCCAAAAGGAGTTGGGCTTCTGATGCAAATCTCTTCAACTTACCGTTTAAAGTATTAGATATTTATTGTGATCTTTAAAAGTAAAACTATTTTTATGAACTTTTTTTTCAGTTTGTCTTCTATGTTGGCTGGCTTAAAGTCGCTGAGGTGTTAATTAATCCTTTCGGTGAAGATGATGATGACATCGAATTGAATTGGCTTATTGATCGGCACATAAAGGTGAGTAATGAACTTGTGTATAGAATTGAGTGGTAATTATAACACAGTTCAACAATAAAAAAAATATTCTAGTAACGAGATATCATTAGTGGTTCATTATAAGATGTAAACAAACAACACAATAGATGATTAGACAATAAGTAGATGATCTTGTAACCGGAAAATTGTATCCAGCGCGAATAGACCTGTAACAGGTTTGTCCATTAATCGTTGTGGTCAAGCTCAACTAACGGTAGGGATAGAGGTAGGATAGTGCTGGCATTTGAAGAGGTGACAGTCATTGATGATACTGCCATCGAGTCTGGACCGCGCTCATTTATAGGACGCGCCTGGGCGGCGGCTCCTCCTCGAGCAAGGGTCCGTTAAGTTTGCTCACGTCTGTGATATCCCACAAGAAACTGATCGCTGAGGATTTTGTTATGTTCCCTTACGAAAAGCATTTGGTCCTTTGAGCTGTCCAGGTGGTGCTCAGGCGACATTAGGCGACCTGTCGCCGTCCGGAGTGCAGCGTTCTGACAAGTCTGCAGCTTCTTCCACTGCACTTCGGCGACCAAACAGGCGACACATAGTTCAGAAACGGCCGGCCAATTTCCATGTATGCTGCCAGTAACGTTTAGTTGTCTTTGCCTAAGGTACTCCCGGGGAACGACTTCAGGACCTTGTTGCGGTTCTGTACTTTGTTGACCACTGCGGTTATGTGCGCGTAAAAGGCGAGCAGGCTATCAAAGCCTGTTTAAATTTAAAATGGCACAATTTTGTTCGAAGAATCACTATGGAAGAGAGGTACCAAAAAAGATGGAATCAGCTTATGATGGCTGACTACTGATCGGGGATTATACGTGGCTGTTCCATCAGTTCTTGATGTGAATTTGTGTATTTCTGTACAAGTCAAAACCTAAAAAACTACACGTAGGAAACATTTATGTAAGCAGTATAAGATCCTAACTGGAACAAGAATTGTAGCTCCTTTTTCCTTGTATTTTATATGGGGAAAAAAGAACTTTTTGTAGAAATGGTATAGAGTAGTTAAAAATCAATATTTTTCTACCAGAAAACTCTGTTTATCTGCAGGATATTCCCAATAATAATACCAAATTGTTTATTTAACCATTTTTTCATTGAGAACCAGAGTTTTCCGATCGAAAAATATTCACTTTCAAGAATTCTATACCATTTATACGAAAAAATTTATTTTTCTCATATAAAAATACATGAAAAACTTTGAGCACTTTGAGCGGTATATTTTTTATCGATGTAGAACAATCCTAGGGGTGAGAGCATTATAATTCCGACTTTACTGTTTTTGGACCACCCTAATGTACATGCATTAGCAAACGTAAATATAGTAATAGAGTATAGAATTTCGTTTTAAAACGGCTTCCATCTATTCTTAAATAAACTACGTCGATTTTTAAGATCTCACATTATTTTTATGTGAAACGTGCTTAAGATATCAAATAAACATATACATATACATATGTATGTACATACATAAATATGTATGCATACTTATAAACATGTGTATACTTAATACGTAACTATGTACATATATTTGTAAAACCATATTTGCGGTATTTGAATTTGTTAGGTGAATAGAGTTTTAACAAAGTACAGGTGATGCTCTTATCAATACTAGTATAGATGGGGCGTTCCACACCAAAATGGACGGAGTTCACACTTCATGTGTTTGATTTGTTTGAAATTTTTTGGGTTGATGGATAAACATAAATAATAAATAAGTATGAAATTTGAGCTTGATTAATACATTTTTAAAAACTTTACAGCACAAAAACAAAAACAAATCGATTTGATAGTTTTCGAAATATCTCGAGAACGGGGCGACGAAACAATTTGAAAAAATCACACATGCACACATCAAGATTCTTTATGAAAAGTAATATTTAAAAAATTTTTTTTTTTTTTTTTAATTTTTCACATGCAAATTTTTTGATAAAAAAAATTATTTTTTGAAAATACGCCATCTCAAAAAAAAATTTGTAAATCACAATAGAAGCTCTGCGCAATATTTAAGTATAGTATCACGTGGTGCACTCTACAATAATTTGAGTTATGGATTTTTTTACACCAATTTGAGTAAAATGAGTACATTACAAACTTAAAATTAAAAAAAAAAAAATTTTGTAAATTTTTTCGAGTATGCAGTTTTGTAGCCAATTAATATAATAAAGTGCAAGTTTTAAGCTACTGCAAAATTGCGTTGATTTTTAATATTTTTGCACTTTTTTCTTATGTAATAAAATGCGCAAACCCCTTTTCAAAGAACACTTAAAACAATTTTTTCGATCGCTCAAAATTAAATAGGAATTATTTCCGTTGAGCAAAAAATTCAAAATCATAAAATAATCACTATTTGTGATCGAAAAAATATAAATCAAATAGTAATTATTGAGCCGCTGAGCCAACAAATTAAACTCAATAATAATATTTATTATTTTTAAGCGAAAAAATAAAAATCGTAAAACAATGATTAATTGCTGATTTAAATTATTTTACTAATAATGACTAATATTATAAAATCTAAAAAGGTAAAAAATCGGTCAACTACTTATAAAACTTAAGATGGTGAGATACTAAGTACGCTTTATCAAAGTCAAAGACACGCACGTGCAAGGAAATAAAACAAAAAATATAGAAATCCAAATTTACACAGGTGAACAAAGAAAAACGGACAACACGTTCGCCAATGAACTGGTTTTTATACCAAACAATTAAAGTGGTACTAGACATACAAACATACATATACACACACATGTATGTATGTGAGTATGTATTTGCATGCCATTGAATGTGTATGGAATATAAAAAATTACCTGTGTGCAAAAATACAAATCTACTTATGTAAGTTCGCATTTAAAGATTTGCAAAAATTCGATTGACAACAAAGGCGCATGCGCGAATATCTGCCGAGACAAGTGCATATGTATATACATTCGAATGTAAACAAGCACTTCGTAAATAGAAAAAGCAAAGATGCAGAATCACACTCACAAAATTATAAAAGTACTACCAAAAATACCTTGAATAAGCTTGTGAACGTGAAGTAGGCGATCGAGCGGCGCAAACTGGTTTAAATACTTATGCACATAAAAAGTTACATAAATAGGAGATACATACATACATACATATGTATAATATAAATGATATATAAAAATGGTTAGAAGTGCCTAAAAAAAGACAGATGTACAGAGCCGAACAAATGTTTCTGGTAGCGTGCCAGGCATTTGACCAGCTGGTTCGCAATAATGCTGAGCCAATTCGTTAGAAAACATTAGACGACGCCACATTAGGCATCCAAAAGCTAGGCAGTTTAGGAGGAAGTGTTGATATGATTCCAACTCGCCGTCCACCAAGCAGCGACGATAGTAAGGATGCATTATGAAATTTATTCTCACCCACCCATGTGGGTGATTTGTGAGCCTAAGAAGATGCCTTGTGGTGGTAATTTTGTGAGCCTAAGAAGATGCCTTGATCGCTTCCGGTCCACCCTCTGGCGTAAACTTGTACATGCCCTGGTTTCCGCGCAGCGATCGCTGAGTTCACACGAGGCGTACTTTCTAGAAGTAGTCCACACCTAGCCAAAGGCACAACCGTTCTCTGTTTTCTCGGTTAGACTCACCTGAGAGTGTCCTTCCAGGCCATCTCATCCGCCAAGCAGTTTTCAGAAAAATCCGTGTGACCTAGCATCGATATACAAAAGTACATACGTCCGACAAGAAAACTGCCGCAACCGAAACAGAGGCAGAGACATTTCACAATTATGTAGCTTTGAACGCACCCTGAGCGAGTCCAAAGTCCTGATTGCAGTATGTCTGATCAGAGTGAATAATTAACTCCCTTGTGGAAGTCGGAACAATCAGCAGCCAATCGACTGTTTTTTAATGGAAGCTACCTGCATCTAGAAAGCAATACAGTGATCTGGAAGACCTAATTTAAGGTTTATCTAGTGTTCTCTTCAAAAGACCACCTCACCAACACTTCCGTCAAGATCGCGACCATGTGCTACCTCCTGTAGATATCTACCTCCCACATTCCACCTATTTTTAAGTGATTTAAATAAGACATAGTTGGTGCAGACCTACACGAAACCCACAGAAATATTAGAGTATCCATATGCTGATACAGTTTTAAGCACCCAATGTTCCCAAGTTTGACTGCAGCCTTTTTTGGCTAGAGTAGTTTTCTTAAGTGCGCCAGACGCGTGCTCCACAAAACACTATGAGCTACATTAAGGATTCATAGAGCATGGGAAATATCTGTACAGAGAGCCCCTCTTCGGGACCATGTGAATTTTAAATCCCGTTTGACGCGTGAGTATAGTAATCGGAGCCTATTGTGTTGTATATGTTACCTGCCAAACCCGATCTTGGGACAAACTAGCTTTTCCTCGGCTAAACTAGCTCCAACTAAGTAGATCCGATTCATCCATCCAACGCGGAATCAAGTTGTACGCGACAATATTGTGGACTGCGTAGCTGGAGTTTTACTGATGAGGGTTATTTTTTTGAATTAAATTTTTTTTTAGCCAAGTGAGCCACACTTTTTTCGGCACAGTTTAATTTGAATTTCACAGAACAGTAGTAGCTATTGCAAATTTTTCGATAAAGTAAAAGGATACCCTTTTTTCTGAAATTCGAAGAACATTCTTTCAATGAACTATGTACATACATACGTATGTATAGTAGAACTTTGATTGCAGTCGCAAAACTTATCACAGAACGTGACAATTTTAAAATAGCCTATCGAAAGCAACAAATACCATACTAAGATGCTTTTCACAACAATAAATAAAATATGTCAATTAAAATATTTTTATGAACTACATACATAGGTACTTATATATAGCGACTCAAAGAAGTGACCAAGTACTGATTTTTTATATGTTCACAATAGTTTTCTAATTAAATTTTTTTGTTATTTTTTTAAGAAAATATTGTGTTCGATAAATCAAAGTTTATAAAAATATATTAAAATTGAACAAACTTCATACTTTTTAATCGGAATCTTTAGAACATTTTTGGGTATGCAGGTTTATAGCCAACGAAAATTGAGTGAATGAAGTACAAGTTTTAAGCGGCTACATAACAGCGTTGATTTTTTAAATTTTGTTTTTGTGACCGTTTTTTTTTTACCTAAGTGCAGTTTATAAAAACTGGTATTGAATTTTCGCAATTTATTGCGAACGGTCTTCAGCATTTTATTTCATAACAAAAACATGCTTATGTGGAAAAAAGTGGAAAACTCCGTCAGCGAACAAAAAAATTATTCAAAATCAACATGACTTTTTAGCTGCTTGGAACTTGAACTTCATTATACGGTATTCACACGAGCTGTTTTTACAGACAATTTTAGAAGCGATTAGTTGAGTCGAAATTGGCCGCCTTCTTGCAATACGTAAGCTTCAAGTTGTAGGTAATTTTCGTAAAATAATTTTATTATCTAGATCTCTACCTCTACCCCTGTTCATTCTAATTACATTTATGTTATACTGTTTTCCTTCCTTCCTTTCCTTATGTTATACAGTTTTCTTCATTCATCCAACAATATATCGATACCAAAACTGATAAAAATATCGATGACAAATTCGATAAAAATTTCGTTAGCAAAATCGATAATATAATTGGTGGCAAAATCGATTAGAAAATTGATAAAAATATCGATTACAAAATCGATAATAATATTGATAGCAAAATCAATAAAAATGTCGATAACAAAATCGATAAATAATTGATAAAAATTACGATAACAAAAGCGATAAAAATATCGATAACAAAATCGATAGATAATCGATAACAAAATCGATAAATAATCAATAACAAAATTGAAAAAATAATAGATAAAAAAATCCATAACAAAGTCGATGACAAATTCGATATAAATTTCGATAGAAAATCGATAATAATATTGGTAGGAAAATCGATAAAAATGTAGTTAAAAAAATCGATAAAAAATCTATTATTATATTTATAAGTCCCGAGAAACCCGGAAATCTCTAACATCGCACAATAGTTACCAGATTGAGTCTCTGTGTCTCTATCTACATATATCCTTTTCTCTATAATTACCTCTTAAAGCACCACAAATAATTGTTTTTTTTTTTTTTTTAATGTGAATTGCATTAAGAATCATGCCATCAGCTGCTTTTCTTAATGGCAAATAGTTACTAGTAAAAATTTATCCAGTAAAAATCCAGTAAAACCTGCAAGTTCAGCTGTCATTTTTGTTCTCTCAATTTCAAATCAGTAAAATTATTACTGGATTTTACTGTATAATGCGTACGAAAACAGGCGTAATGGAAATTATATTTTGAGCTGTTTTTTTTCGATTAAAGGCGCTGTACGAAATCGATACGTTGCCTGAATCTAATATAATTTACTAAAATTGCAATAGTTTTTCTCTTTTTAAATCGATTTGTAAAAAATTGTGGGTCTATATTCTTTGAAAATCGCTTAAGCTTTAACGTCACATGAAAACAAAGACAAGAAGGAAGGTTGTTCCTTTTGGTTGTAATTTACAGAAGAACGGTGATGCGACTTAAAATTGTGCCCGATTTCTCCCATAAATTTACAGATAATTCTTAAACTGATAATTTGATGGGAAAATATTATATAGCGGAGTGACACAATCTTTTATGGCCTTTAAGGTGGTGGAAAGGTTTTGCGGTCAGATATGTAGAACTGTAGATTCTTAGAAAAAATTTAAAACGTGACTTTCTTAGTTTGAAAACAAAAACCGATAATTAGGCAAAATCTCAAAATCCAGTAGATTTTTTTACATTTTTGGTTCAATACCTTAAACTGTATGTTTCAAAAAATAAAATAAAAAATAAAAACTCGTCTCAAACTTTCGTTGGTTAAATGACTGACTAACTGACATTTCTGTAGGCGCACTCTCATGCATAAGCCATATTAGGAGCTTAACGAATGTTGTTATATAATAATTGTAATAAACAATTGACTTAAGTATTATGCACACGCAGTAGTAGAAAACACTTAGCTCTACTTATTGAGTTAAGTTGATAACATGTCTACATGAATAAATTATGTATATAGCGCCAAAAGCGAATTGAAATTACTTGCGCTCGAAATACTTGCAAATCATTGAAGTGGTTATTTTCACTAAAGCCAAACATTTTGCATGAATTTTGTTTTGCTCAATTGTGTATCTGCATTTTATTTATGCTTTTTTGTCAATAAGTGTTGATTGAATTTATGGCAATGAATCTTAATGAAAGTAAACGTTCATTCGCGTCTACGCTTGATCGTTATCATAGTTTTCGAAAAGCTATTATTAGATTTAAGTAGCTGAAATTTAATTGCTTTTGGAAACTTCTTCTTTCTTGTAAAGATGTTATCAACCCAAATTTTTTTCATGTAAAAATGCGGTTTTGCGCCAGGTTTGACACCCGCTCGTAAGAACTAATTTCAATGAAACCGCAAAAAATCGCGGATGAAACCTCCTTAATTTTTTTTTTTTAACCACCATGGCGAACGTTTAATAAACTCCGATTCGAGGGTATGTACCTGGTTTATAAGGACCCGTAATGTTAAAAATGCCCCTGCCTGGCTGATTGATGTCCTCGGCTAAGGTATACGATGCACGGAACAAGCCAAGAAGTTGCCTTGCGACGCACTATAGGCCAAATTGTATTTTCTCTGTTAAAGGAAAACATATACGAAGATTTTAGACTAAGACTACGAGATCGCAAAATTTTATTTAATCCTTCCTGTTGCAGTTTTGCGAAACCCATTTTTTAACTTAATTTCATTTACTTTTTCTAGGCCGCCTACATGATCGTCGATGAAATGCACGAGGAGCACCCAGAATTGTTGCGCGATCAATATTGGGAATGCGTGGTGCCAAAGGAGTTGCCATATACGGTCGCCTCAGAGCACTACCGCCGCGAAGAGCCCAAAGGTTCAGCAGAGAACTACAAAATAAAGAAAGAGGATGCCATGTATGCGAATATAGTGCCTGGTGGCGCAAAACGGGGGCAAGTCGATGACGTTTACGCGGATTATGTGAGTTAAAGGAATAATTTTCCTTGCCTAAAAATATGTGTATCTATATGTATGAATGTATGTATGTATGTATGTATTTTATGCTTGCCACAGGAGAGTGTTGATACACCGATGGTGGATCGCCGCAAAAATAATTGGCTGGTGCGACAACTTTCACGCATGGGTTCCATACGTAGTCAATCGACCGCCTATTCATCGAGTGGCATGGCATTCAATCGTAATCGCCTTAATTCCGTTTACTCAAGTCCCGAGTCTGGCATGCCGGTCAACATATTACAACAACAATCGATGCAGCAACAAACGATGCAGCAACAGCATGGTGTACAAGCCACGCAAATGCAATCGAAACCAAGTTTCTATGGAAAATTTGTTAATCGTAAATCGCAACGCGCGCAAAAGCAACTGATTAAGCAAAGTAAGTTGGTGCGATTGCAACATTTAGTTAAATATTTTTTGTTTATTACTATTCGTGTGATTTACATCTATATTTTTCATTTTTGTTCCATTTATTTTCACCATACACCTAATCTACACTCACACCACAATTTACGCCCCAGATTCCAAGCTAAACGGCCTCAATGCGAGCATTCCCAAAGCACGTCCACGCATTCCCACACCCGATGTTACCAAAGAGTCTGGTGAAAAAGATTTGAATGGTAAGTTCATTAACGGTACACCATTTGCTTTAGCACACCCACTCAAAATTCAATTGCACCCATAGCCACGAAAACTGTCATTATGACATCACAGTTGAGCACCCCAACCTCCATGTATCCGTACACGAGCACGAACAATCAGGATGGACCCGTTTTGGGCACACTCTTGTTATCGCCCATTAAAGAAATGGATAGCTCATCTTCGAATAACACTCTGATTCCAGGGCATCCGACGACAACGGCGCTGGCACAAGCCGTACTGCCGGCCAATCTGAAGGATGTGAACTTTGGTGTTGTCTCACGTAAGTCACTGCAACTGAACGCTCCTACTGCATTTACACTCATTTTTATAAAACAAAATTCTTGCTTTTTATTTGTAGCGCCAGTTACCACTAACATCACTACACTTTCCTTCCCATTCACGGTGACCACCAGTTCCGCGGATACAATACCCGCTGGCACATTAAATATTTTGCCTTTGGGTGGTACACAATTGCCGACCATAACCACCAGCGCCGCCGGCAGTGGTTTTGATGCCAACGATCTCATTACTAAAATTCCTGTCTCATTGGCAATACAGCACTCCTCTTCGATGCGTTCCATCAACGACTTTAGCGGCAATGAAAATGTGGATGTGCCGCACAGTTACAATGACAACACTGGATCTGCGGGCAATGGTGGTAGTGCTGGCGGCGGTGGTGGCTTGGTAGCCACAACAAATAATGCCATGCTCACCCTCAAGCCATTGAATAGTGGTGCCAATATTTCGCGCAATAACAGCTTTAGTGCCAATTTAAACATAAATCTGCAGGATTCCTATATACTGGAGCGTAATTCATCGGTGCGTTCAGCGGCTGAGCCGACGAGCAATGGCGCCGCCGAAGGCACAGCATCAGCGCGCCAAACACACGGGGAGGGCGCTTTGACAAAACGCACACCCGAGCCTGCCAAGGGCACTAAGGAGGTGTATGTGTAGAGCCGTTAATTATCGAATAATCGAAAGGAAGGCAGGGCTCTACTACATATGTAGGCAATGAAGAGTGGCACTTTAGAAGTCGATTTAATTTAATTATTGTTAAGGGATTCACAAGGTGTCATAATGAGTCCATATGCCATAGATTAGGTTAGAGTTGCGGCAAAAAATTTAAAAACTATGCTAAAATGAATCAAATTTTTGTTGATGGCAGAGTCAACCTTAGTATATATTTGGGGGTTTTTGAGACAGATCTTGCAGTTAAGAAAATTCATATACTCCACAGCGTTTTCTCTGTATATATTTACGATTCGGGGTGAGGTCCGGCTCTCATTTCCGGGGTTGAGATGACCGGTTTCCAAACTAAATCTACTTTGAACTCACACTAACTACATTTAAAGTAATTTCACGTTTCTTAACCAGAGTCCACTTTGTTGTAAAAGGTGTGACCACCCGCACTTTTAAGGATATTGCGGTCCGAGACGACGGTGGCGTAAACTATTTTGCCTAAAGCAGCCTTGAGCGATTGCAAATACTTTTGCCTGTTAATTGCACTTGCAAAGTAAGGAACATGGATTTAGCTTCTTAATCACAGGTTTTCTGAACAAACACCTGCTTCAAATCCATAAATGTGATATATCCCGTCGGAGGTACATATCTACCTTCCCATCTCAGTCGGCTCTCGGTGAGCTAAGGAGCAATTATTATGCTATGCGCGATGGCTTTTTCTGTTCCTAAGTAAGTGACTTGCAGCCTACACTGAAGCGGTGTACGTTATGTCTGGGTGTAAAGGAATAGGTTTGAGGGCATTCGTAGGGAACTTCTCATTGCCCTGTAGGACGGACACAGCTACATGTATCTGAATGTGCTGAAGCCTACCTACTTTAACATGACCAGTGGTTTCATAAGTGTCGTCCGGCAGACCAGGTAACCCATAGATCGAACGTTAGTACAACTGCCGGTTACTATTATATTGTATGTCATAAATTTGTTACCTATCCCAGTACACCAGTTTTAGTGATGAACAGTCAGAGTTAATCAGGAAGATATCTAACGGGTGATTTTTTTGAGGTTAGGATTTTCATGCATTAGTATTTGACAGATCACGTGGGATTTCAGACATGGTGTCAAAGAGAAAGATGCTCAGTATGCTTTGACATTTCATCATGAATAGACTTACTAACGAGCAACGCTTGCAAATCATTGAATTTTATTACCAAAAAAAGTTGGCAGAAAATCCGCTTTTTTATCGACAAATTTTGTTCAGCGATGAGGCTCATTTCTGGTTGAATGGCTTCGTAAATAAGCAAAATTGCCGCATTTGGAGTGAAGAGCAACCAGAAGCCGTTCAAGAACTGCCCATGCATCCCGAAAAATGCACTGTTTGGTGTGGTTTGTACGCTGGTGGAATCATTGGACCGTATTTTTTTCAAAGATGCTGTTGGACGCAACGTTACGGTGAATGGCGATCGCTATCGTTCGATGCTAACAAACTTTTTGTTGCCAAAAATGGAAGAACTGAACTTGGTTGACATGTGGTTTCAACAAGATGGCGCTACATGCCACACAGCTCGCGATTCTATGGCCATTTTGTGGGAAAACTTCGGAGAACAATTCATCTCAAGAAATGGACCGGTAAGTTGGCCACCAAGATCATGCGATTTGACGCCTTTAGACTATTTTTTGTGGGGCTACGTCAAGTCTAAAGTCTACAGAAATAAGCCAGCAACTATTCCAGCTTTGGAAGACAACATTTCCGAAGAAATTCGGGCTATTCCGGCCGAAATGCTCGAAAAAGTTGCCCAAAATTGGACTTTCCGAATGGACCACCTAAGACGCAGCCGCGGTCAACATTTAAATGAAATTATCTTCAAAAAGTAAATGTCATGGACCAATCTAACGTTTCAAATAAAGAACCGATGAGATTTTGCAAATTTTATGCGTTTTTTTTAAAAAAAAAGGTATCAAGCTCTTAAAAAATCACCCGTTATTACTAAAGATATTATAAATGTTTGTACTAGAAGGTCTTCTGACGTCTTGGAGTACTGGAGCAGACTATTTATATGGATGAAAAATTTCGTAGCATCTACAAAACGTTTTTGATCGTTTGAATATTCGAAACATTAGGACAATACGACTGTTTTGGCAAAACGACAATTATGACAGCTTGTGAATGCCCCAAAATAGTTCTTTGAATGAAATTAGTGCTAAAATATTTACAAAAATGTTATAACTTAGTTAGCTATTATTTAATTATGTTTTGAAATCGAAAATATTTGTGGAAACTTAAAAAATTGTATATTAAGTACAAATTAAAAAAGTTTATATGAACATATATACATAATTGTTAATTTTTTTTTACAGAAATGCTACTAAAATTAAATGGAAAATTTTAATACGGTTTCATAAAAAAAAATAAATTTTTAAAAAGTTATAGTTGGTAGAAAAAGATATTTAGAACCAGAACGATTTTTAGAAAACATATACATATGTATGTATTTATACACAAAACTCGTACTTCATAGCTACAGAATACACTGGCGGCAGAAATAATAGACTCGTCGTACTTTTAAGAATTTTGGCTATATTTATTTAGTTAATTATATGTCTAATATTTTTTCATAAAAGCCTAGGAGTTATGTAACAAACGTCATATAAATCCGATTTCAAACTTTGAACAAAAATTATAAAAATTCGACAAATTTTCACCAAATTTTCAAACTTTTTATTTAGAATTTTTAGAAAATTGTCACAAATCAACGGTATTTTCTAGCCACTTGAAACTTGCACTTTATTATACTAAAATTGAATGGGCTACAAAACTGCATACCAAACATTTTTCTAAAAACTCTGAATAAAAAGTTTAAAAATTTGACGAATTTTTTTATAAAGTTTGAAAAGGGGATTTATATGGTGCCTGTTGTATAGCTAGCCAGGCTTTTATAAAAAAACATTAAACATAAAATATTATTGGTGGTATAATAGCCAAAACTCTTCAAAGTTAGTTGTTTTAATAACCTATCTGTTATATACAAAAACTAGTTTTATTATGTTTTCATAACCACATCATGCACGAACAGCTCAATGGATGTGTTTAATTCTTTTTTGAATTCTACTAGAGGTTTTCTGTAGGTTTGTGGTAAAAAAATTTGAAATATAGGTTTGCCAGATATTTGAAAATTCAAAATTATTTAAAGGTCAATAAAATACAGAGGTGTGCCGCTAAACATATGTTTATTCGACTGTTCCATAAAACCAAAGTTGTTTTTTTTTAACAACCCAAATAAAATTTTATGCAATTCGGACCACGGCAACCCTAAAAGTTAATAGAATAATCTTTGTGCAGTTCGCATACTCGTTTTACTTCTATATTTTGCGCAGTGTTACTATACTCCTTACAGAATTAGAGCATAATATTTAGTAAATCTGCGTTTTTTATTTTTTACTAGGTAGTCAGGATTTTTTCCAAAGCACTATAAATTATAACTTATTTCCAAAAGTTTACACAAAATATGGATATGTGAGTATCAATTGAAAAAATCTCATTTAAAAATATTATCCTTCAAGATTTTTAATTTTGGAGGCATTTTGAAGAATCTAACTTTAACTTAAATCCTATAAATCTATAAAAGAATATTTAAGTTTAAAAATTACAGAAGATATTTTCATTTAATATTTTTTCGATGTCCTTGGGAGAATCCTATTAAAAATTTAAAGATGCAGATTTACTAGAAATGCGTTCAAATATGGGGAATATATAAAATTTTTCGCATTTTCAAAAGTTTTATTAACTAAAAGTTAACTAAAAGTCGGCACGGGTTATCCTTATCCTACAGCCATAAAACTTCATATATGCATATCGAGGGCTTTCATATTCAATACAACCTATCTGCAATTTTCACAAAAAGTACTTTCTGATGTTAGAACCCATGACTGATGTTACTTTTAACAAGTTAAAAATTAACGTCATTGATGACAGTTTACTCTTAGATGAATTTTCATATCACAAACTAATTTTTCTGACAATTGCAGTTAGGTTATGTTGAGTATAAGCCCTCGATATGCCATTTAGGCTAAAAAGCACAAATAGAGAGCGTATGCAAATAAAAATTTGCAAACAAACTTTTTTACATACATATATTCTTGGGACAGTCCAAAGTACATACTGACTTTAGAGCCTCTCGTTTTCCACTTTTCGCTTAAAAGAAAAGCTAAAACTTTTTTCGAAATATCATAGATACAAAATTGTATTTAGTTTATGAAATATGTATGTATAATTTTAAACATAAATTAGTTAGGTACATGCATATGTATGTTTGTATATTCCTTCATAGGTACCCATTTATATTCATGTGTATGTATGTATGTATGTAAATATGTGTACTGAATCTCTAAATGAATCTAGAACCGAATGTAATTTTTTGTGATATTTATCATATTTATATACTTACTTCAATTTATACATATCTATATACATATATGTGCATATGTATTTAAGCCGATGAACTAATAAAATAAAATATGTAGGTACCATTTATCCATATTTGTATTTGTAATGTTTGTATAATTGTTGATCGACTTGTATGTTATTGATTTTGTTTAGCCATACGTATATATATTAGGAAAAGTAGATATCCAAATAATTTTATTTGATAGCTATATTAATAAAAAAAATACTATTGTTGTATAAAAATATATTTATGTACATACTGATCTAATGTATACTTCATAAATATTATTAAAATTTTAATTTGTTTATTGTAATAATTTTATAAACATAAGTAAAAAGTGGTATTATAAAGATACTTAGCTTAAAGAAACGCATCATTACTCCTTTTTATTGTAGTGGTATTCTGAACGATTTTCGGTAAACTTTTCAGCTGGAAATTTGCGATGGAGTGCTTTAATTTTACTGTTTGAAAGCCTAGCAATCCCTAATCAATTTTGTTTTTAATAAAAACAAAGCAAGCCTTTCAGGTACAAATCATTTCTGTGCCAGGGTATA